GTTATCGCGTCGCTCGCCCTTCTCGCACGCACAAAGTCTGTCTTCGTTCAACGCGTCTATTGCCCGTCCGCCGGAGGCCGCCACTGTCCGTCCACTGGAGGCTGCCACTGCCCAACCTTCTGGCACGTTTGCGGCTGCCACTGCTCGTCTTTCTGACAACCCCTGACCCCTGCCAGGAATAAAAAAGCACCCTCCTCTGTCGGCCGCCTTGGCCTCCTCCGCGCTTGAGGCTGCCACTGCCCGTCCTTTTCGCGCACGCGGGATTTGAGTTCTTGAGGCTGCCACTGCCCGTTCTTCTCGCAAGGTCGGCCCTGGCCCTCACGGAGCTGCCGTTGGCCGCTCTTCTCGCGCGCACAGGGCCCGACCCCTTTCGGTTGCCACTGCCCGTCCGCTCGCGGCGACCACTGCCTGTCCGCCTGAGGCTGCCGCTGCCCGTCCTTCTCGCGCGCGCAGTCGTCGCCCTCTCGGTGCTGCCAATGCCCATCCATCTCGCGCGCCCTGATCCCCGCGCTGTAGCTGATGGCGCTTGGTTCTATCGTAGCCTCCCACTTGTCGCACTCGCAGTTCCCAATAATGTGGCTAGAGTAGTTGGGCTACAGCTTTGCCTCTTGGCCGTTCTGCTCGCGCGAGCTTCCCGCACGACGCTGCCTTTGGCCTGACTCCTCGGCCTCCCTGGCCCCCTGCCTCCTTAGCCTCGGCGGCCTTCCTGCCGTCCTCTGCCTCGCCCGCGTAGTCCTGCATCGACTGCAGGCCTTTGGGTGGCCCAGAGAGGGGTCCAGCTGAAAGGGGGTGATGCCATAAATTTGATGCGCGTGTAGCGCACGTGTGCTGCGCCGGAAAAGTGTACTGCATTGCATTGCAAGTGATGTATTGCACGCGAAAATCCAGCAATGCAGTTGCGCCCGGGAATGTATTGCACGCCCCAAATTTATTGCAACCCCACAAATCTATTGCACCAAATCGATTGCGCCACCCCCTTGTCGCTGGACCCCCTTCTGGGTCAACGCGAAGGCCCCGCCACGGCTCCTCGGTTGTCGTCGCTGCCTCGCCCGCTCCGATCTCTGCGCTGTGGCGGATGGCGTCGGGCTCTACCTTCGCCTCCCAATATTGCCACTGCGCGCTGAGGATCCAGCTGAAGCCCAGCTCCGTTTACCTGCACGTTGCCAGGCGCAGGCGCCGCCACGCGCGCCGTTGGCTGTTGCTTGGGCGCCTTTCCCAAACCGGGGGCGCACACGAACTCTCGCCTTCGGCCATCGGCGGTACCTGCCTTCGCGCCTTCCCTCGGCGCTGGGGGCGTCCCGTGATCGCGGGCCCGGCCGCGCCCGCCGCGGGGCAAAACCGAAGAATGAGGATCGAGGAGGACGAGGACGACAAAGAAGAGGAGGAGGAGGAGGAGGAGGAGGAGGAGGAGGAGAGGCTCGGGAAGTGGGGCGTGGATGAGCTTGTTTTTTTTATTGGGGGGGGTAGCGCCCGTTACGGGGGGGGGGAGTCCGGCCTCAAGTTGGGGGTAACGGTAACGCGCGGCGGGGCCCTCGCACGGGCCCTGGTACTTATTACCTGCACAAGTGTCGGCACGGTAGGCTTCGTCGTCGTCGTCGTCGCCGTCGTCGCCGCTGTCGTCGTCGAAGCCGACCGTGCCTGTACACACTACACAGGCTCTGTACACCGCGATGCCTTTGTACACCACAACTGCGGCAAAAATGGTATGTGTGTGCACCACGGCGACTGAGCACATCATGACAGGCGGGTGCACCACAGCGCCCTTGTACATCTCACTGTTGTTGCACACCACGGCGCCCGCGTGCACCACAGTTGCTGTTTCAACGCCCCGTGTTTGCACCAGAATGCCAGCATACACCACAAAGCTTGTGTACACCTGTAAGGTTCCGGCGGAGCGAAAGTCCAGAAGATCGCTCGGGGCCCAACCGTGGCCCTTTCATTGTGAGCTGCTTGTGGATCTTCGTTTTTCTGGTTCAAAAAGCGCTCGGACCTGTTGAGCCCACAGCGCCTGTGCACTCCATTGCGACTGTGTACATCATGGGAGTGTGAACCGTGGCGCCTGTGTATACCACATCACCTCCTCCTACCCCCCTCCTCCTCCGATCCCCCATCACCTCCTCCGATCCTGTTCCAACCCTCCTCGTCCTCCTCGTCCTCCTCATCCTCCTCCTCCTCCTCCTCCTCCCTCTGCCTCGCTCCCCCCTCCCCCCAGGAGGTGAGAGGAGGTGGAGGGCACGAGCACTGGAGGGAGTGCAGAAGCAAGGCAAAGGAGGTGGAGGGGCCAGGCCGGAACCCGTTGAAAGGTTCGCGCCGAGGGATGCGAACCTCGAACCTCGAGGATCGAGGCATCCTGGCCCTCGAGGGCCTTCGTCGTCGCCGCGGCTGGACGCGGCTCGGGAAACTGGTGCGTCTGAGCCCCAGTCGGGCCCCGTGGACCCATTTTGAGTTTGCGCCGAGGTTCGAACCTCGAACCTCGAACTTCGAACCTCGAACCTGAGCACACATGTGAGCGTCACAGCATGCCTGCCTGGACGGAGGGGGGGTCCGCACCCCCGTCCCCGTAACGGGCGTTACGGGTCCGAGCAATAACAAAAACAAGCTCGATAGCGTGTCGCGCTGAGGCGTGTCGGCCAGAACTGGCGCCGCGATACGCTGAGCCAGAATTCCTCACCGTATACCTGGCCGCCAACCCCGGGACCTTCCAAGGCGCGGGCCTCCGGGCCGGAGTCCACCGGGACGCGCCACTCCCACTCGCCGCGGAGGGAAAACTTCCCCGTCCTCCGGGCACGCAGGGGGGGAATATTTTTCTCCCGCTGCCCAGCTGGCTCCCCACCTTACACACCGTCCGACCAGCAGATGGTTGGCTGATTCAGTGCTTTTCTCGAAGAGGGCACTGCCTACACATCGGTTTTCGGACCTCCGCGTTGGATTGCCCTGGTGGCGCCCCCGGCGACGCCCCCGGCGCGCTCCGCGCGCCGAGGAGGGGGTCCATCGCAGATCCAAGAAATTCGCGCATAGCTCCGAAAGTTCGTGCTTATGCCATTTTGTCCCTCGAGAAGATGACTATATCAGCCACCTGCTGGTCGGAAGGTGCGGATGGTGGAGATTCAGGGACACCATGCACATGTCCCACTGCTGTCCCCATTAAATCGTGCGCTTTCCCTTCAAATCACGAGCCAAGTGATAAACAAAACAATCGCGAAGCTGATCCGCACCCCTAGTCGACAGGGTGAAGGTGGATGCTGCACTATGCAGCGCTGTACCGCCCAGACTCTCGCCGCCAGGCGAGGGGTGCGGAGGTGGGTCTCCTCCTCCTCCTCCTCCTCCTTCTCCTCCTCCTCCTCCTCCTCCTTCTTCCACCCCATCTCCCGGAGAAGCTTCGGGGAGGCGCCAGCGACGGGCTTCAAACATGTGACGGTTTCTGGTGCGCGCGCCCCCGAGAGAGCGCAAAACACTTTCCTCGAGAACCTGTTTGAACAACCTGCGCCCAAACATGACCGGCTCACCCCCCGGCCATGCGCACAGCCCATCCCCTCTCGCCGCCTCCCCAGTTGGGAGTACATGAGGGCTTTCCCTGCATCCACGCATTCCCATGCGGGGTTTACCCCTCCCCTCCCCCGTCCCCCTGGGCCTGGCGGGGGGGGGCGCGGGTCGTTGGAGCGTCTGTATTGGCCTAAGATGGCGCCAAGACAGCCAAGGAGAGCTCAAGATGACCTCCAAGATCGCTCAAGATAGCCCTACACGAGGCGCTCCAAGATCGCCCCAAGACGGCCACGAGTGGCCACGGAGCCTCCCAAGGACGCCCCCGAGAGGCCAAATCCCTTCAAAAACATATGGAAAAACATTGTTTTCCCTTCTCGCCTTTTCGATGTCAATGGGCTCTTGGGGCTTCAAGATGGCCCCGAAATGGCCCAAGAGAGCCCCAAAACATGCCGCAGAGAGGCCGTAGACAAAAGGGCCCCAAGAGGTCACCGCTCGGGTTCCGAAGGAAGGACCGTACTTGACGCCGCGCTCCTTTTAGAGTCGTGGCCTCCACGGTGGCCACGAAAGAAATCCCATACCCCCACAAAGAGCCCCCCTAGGGCTTCGAGACCCCCCAAAAGATCTCAAGGGGTACCCCAAGAGGCACCACGGATACCTCAAAAGGGCCCAGAGACCTCCAAACTATCCCCACGAAGGCCCTTGGATAGCCCCAAGATGCCTCCAAGAGGCTCCCCATCAGAAAAACCCAAAAACGGCATTGATGGTAGACTCGTCGTCGTCGTCGTCGTCGTCGTCGTCGTCGTCGTCGTCGTCGTCGTCGTCGTCGTCGTCGTAGTCGTCGTCTTCGTCGTCGGCGTCGTCGCGATCGTCGTCGTCGCCGTTGTCGTCGTGTTCGTCGTTGTCTTCGTTGTCGTTGTCGTCGTTGTGGTCATCGCTGTCTTCGCCGCTATCTCCCTCTCGTCTCCCGCCGCCTTGTTTTCTTCCTCCTCCTCCGCCCCGTGATTCTCCCACTCCTCCCACGAGGAAAGCGGGGCCGTCGTAGTCGTGGTCGTCGTCGTCTTCGTCGTAGTCGTCGTCGCGGTCGTGGTCGTGGTCGTCGTCGTCGACGTCGTCGTCGTTGTTGTGGTCGCCGTTGTCGTCGTCGCCGCTATCTCCCTCCCGCCTCTCACCGCCTTCTCTTCTTCCTCCTCCGCCCCGTCGCCCGCCCACTCCTCCCGCGAGGCAGAGCCACAAGGGATCGGGTGGGATCTAGGCATAGCAGGAGGGTATATACGAGGGCAAGAGAAGGCACGCCCGAAAACAACAGCAGCCAGCATGCTTCGCAAAAACTGCTGTTTTAGAGTGGGCTGGCGGGGATATTTTTGTTCGCGAGCGCAGCGGAGGAGCTGCGCGCCGTCAATAAGATCCAGCGAAGACCTAGAACGCAGCGGCCGGGAACGAGGCTAAGCGCGCGCAGCGGGCGAGCAGCCGAAAAAGGGGACAGTGGCCAAGCCCGCGTGCCGAAGAGTGGGTTTCAGCAAACTTGTCCTCAGCGAACTTGTCCTCAGTGACCTTCACCTCAACGAATGTGTCCTCAGTGAACTTGTCCTCGGCTGCGCGTCGGCATGTGCCGAATGTGAAGCACGGGCACCACCGCCGTCGTCGAGTACGAATCCTGTGACCACACCACGTAGGCCAGCCTCACGAAGGTGCCCTCCGAAGTCCTGCATCAGGCCGGCGATGCGTGCCGTCCACTCAGTCGGCATACCGCGGACCATGGCCAACGAACGGAATCAGCGAAAAGCGACGGGTGCAGGCCAAGGTTGCACTGTGCTGACCAGAGGACCTCCCGCGGGGAGACAGCCGAGGGAGAGGGCCCTTGTGTCTGCTGGCGCTGGTCCCAACGTCGCGGGGGGAGCGCCGGGGGCCACGTATGCGCTGTGGGTGGCGGTCGTAGCTAACGGCTGGTGGGGGCACGCGAAGCGTAAAGAATTACAAGCTCGCGTGACGACAATTTACTTCAACAATTGGGCCAGCTGGTACACACCTCGCTGCCACATGCTCACTTCTGCGCCTATTGTCGGACTTGAAAGGTCTGATAGACATCGTGATCATCCGAAGCAGTGTGCTCCCGAATGGCCTCGAGTTTCAGCCAAGTGCGGTCGGTACTGCAGAGAGTAAGCAAGTATGGGCAACCTCTGACATGGTAAGGCTTCGGGTTGCGCGCCGACAGCCCACCCAGGTAGTCGTGATTGAGCTGAACAGGTCCCTCGAGTAGCGGGGACGGCTTATCACCCCGACCCTGAGGCGCGGAACGCCTCAAGGGCGCCGCGCCCCAGACTTCTCGGGGGCCTATTGAGGCCAGCGGGGGCTACCTCAAGTCGGGCATGCCCTTTAACATGCGGATCTTGGAAGCAAGAGAAATCGTAGTCTAAAAGATCACCCGAAAAGCAGACGAGCGCAACAAGTCGTCCCCAGACTACTTGCCAGGTGCTCAGGCTTTTGACCGCCAGCTGACACGAGCCAGAAGGCGCCGCATGCCGCTGATGACCGGTTCAAGACGCTAACGTGACCCCATCTGCAAGCTGGAAGCCCTCGTGAAATCTCTGGGGAAACTGCAGCCGAAGCAAGAGCGACTGCGTTGGATAAGGGTGTCCAGGGTCACTCGGCCTCAACGCGCAATTGAACACACTGAATCAACACAGCATTGCGGGCATGACGACGATGACGCAGTCTCACGCAGATAATCAAGAAGCCGACTGTGACGATCACACGGAGTGAATTGGGTGTAAGTAGGGCCAGAATGGAGTGATTTCCCATCTCATGTTTGCGGGGCGGAGTGATTATCACCCTGTTATTAATACAGATTAGTACATTAAAGCAGGGTGCGAGCCCTGGGCTCGGAACCGCAGCCGGACCAGAAACCTTTCGCTAAGATTATACGAGAGGCGGGGGGTCTCGGCGGATGACATGTTACGGTCAAAACTATAGTACCGCCTGTGTATGTTTGAACTGTCTTGAATATTTCCCCCTGTGGAGGGACACGCCCGACTCAAGGCTACCTCGGGGGGCTGCTGGTGCGAAACCCGAGGCCTCACACCTCCGACGGGCGGATCACCGAGGGGAGCGCGCGGAAGGACCGGAAGGCAGCAGCGGGAGACCGAGGACGAGAAGGCGGAGGCCAGAGCTCTTGGGAACGAGGCTCGCATATATCTCCTCCTCCTCCTCCTCCTCTTCCTCCTCCTCCTCCTCCTGCTTCTCCTCTCCCTGCTCCTCTTCCGCCACCTCTTCCTCCTCCTCCTCATCCTCCTCTTCCTCCTCCTCCACCTCCTCCTCAGCGCGGCTAATTCCTGCGGATGAGGCCGACCATGTCCAGAAGATTGGCAACCTGGTCCGTAGGCTGCGCTCCTTTCCTTCGCGCGGCGGGCAGGGGGAGATTGAAGCACCGAGTGAGGGAGTGCTGTGGGTGCGAGGGAGAATGGAGTGGGAGGAGGGGGAGGAAGGGAGGACGGGAAGGGAGAAGGGAGTGGTGGGAGGGGGCAAGAAAGGGATGGCGGGAAAGACTGAGGTGGGCTCGAGGAGAAGGGGGAGCTGGCGCCGTGCTTGAGGCTGAGGCCGACGTATCTGCACCCCTTCTGCGCACGGGCGAGGAACCTTGGGGCGAAGAAGTGGCATTGCCGATCTGCGGATTCCTGCAAAGAGGGGAATGGGGAGGAGGTGGGGGGAGGGAGGCTAGACAGGGGAGGAGGTCTGCGGATGGAGAGTAGGACGAGGAGGAAGTGGAGGAGACCTCCCTCGCCTTCCTCCCCTCCTTCTCCTCCCCTCGTCCTCCCTTGCCGTGGCACGAACAAATCCTCATCGTAGAGCTCCTTCTGGATATCTCGTACTCTCCATCGCTCGGAAGTCCCTTCCCCGTGCGTGTATCGGCTTCGCGCGTGTCTTTCTCGCAAGATGGACCAACAAATGCTCCTCGGTGGCCCTGGCCGAGAACAAGCGCACCAGGAGGAGGAGGAGGAGGAGAACAAAGGAGGAGTTGGAGGAGGAGGAGGACAGAGAAGGAGGAGGACAGAGGAAGAGGAGGAGGAGGAGGAGGAGGAGGAGGAGGAGGAGGAGAAGGACAGAGAAGGAGAAGGAGGAGGAGGCGAGGAGGAGGAGGAGGAGGAGGAAGGGGAGCAGGAGGAGGAGGAGGAGAAGGAGGAGGAGGGGGAGAGAGGAGAAGGAGGAAGAGAGGAAGAGGAAGAGGAGGGACGAGGAGGAGGAGGCGGAGGAGGACGGGGAGGAGGAGGGGAGGGATGAGGAGGAGGAGACGCAGGAGGTGGCAGGAGGAGGGGAGGAAGGAGGGCAGAGCAGGAGCAGGGGAGGGGGAGGAGGAATGGAAATGAGGGAGGAAAGGGAGGAGGAGGAGGAGGAGGAGGAGGAGCAAGGAGGAGTGCGACTGATGGCAGGCGGAGGAAAAGGAAGAATCGAGGAGGGATGGAGGAGGAGGGAGAGGGGGAGGAGAAGGAGGAGGAGGAGGAGGAGGAGGACGGATGGAGAAGGAGAAGAAGGAGGAGGAGGAGGAGAAGGAGGACGATGAGAGGAGAGAGAAGGAGGAGGAGGATGAGGAGGAGGAACAGGAGGAGGAGGACGGATGGAGGAAGAGGAGGAGGACGAGGAGGAGGAAGAGGAGGGGGAGTCGTACTAGTAATCGTAGTAGTAGTAGTAGTAGTAGTAGTAGTAGTAGTAGTAGCAGTAGTAGTAGTAGTAGTAGCAGTAGTAGTAGTAGTAGTAGTAGTAGCAGTAGCAGTAAAAGTAGTAGTAGTGGTAGTAGTAGTAGTAGTAGTAGTAGTAGTAGTAGTAGTCGTAGTAGT